TGGCTGCCGCAGTGAGTGTCATAGCCACTGGTCATTCTGATCATCCTGGTCGTTCTACCATTCCAGTTGCTGGGCTTTTATATATATAGATATGCATAACCCATAGACACAGACAATAGTGCTTTGAAGGCCTGGGGAGGGGGTGAGATCTGGGTGGAGGAGGTCAATGAGGGGGAAAAAGAGGGACATCTATAATGCTTTCAACAATAAACATAAATTTAAAATCCTATATAATAAAAGCATAATATGCAAATCGACCAAACAGCTGAACAGCAGAATGACCACCCGGACAACCATCCGGGACCACACTATGACACCCACTGGCGCCAAGCCAGCCAAGGTGGGTGCAATGCGATTGGTCAGGGACCAGGCCATTGCCCCATGACCGCCTCGCAGAGGGAGGCCCAGGCCACTGACCAGCTGGCTGCAGCAGGTAGGCGGGGCCTCCCTCTGCGAGGGAAGCCCAGGTCCTGGGTGCTGGCAGCCAGAGGAAAGCCCAGGTCCTGGGTCCTGGGTGCCAGAGGCAAGCCGATGCCAGCAGCCCGGGGGAAGGAAGGCCTACTCTTGCACGAATTTCATGCATCGTGCCTCTAGTAAAGAATATAAAGGGCAGCCTGGAACACATCACATGGGACATTCTAGATATGCATAAAGCGCTGGTGGGTAAGTTAGGGTTGACTGTGTAAGCATTTTTCCGATTAATCCATGATAGGCATCTTTTTTCTTCTACTTCCTTTTTTCCAGGGTTATTTCCTTCTCCGGTTCCTTGCCAGAAGACTTGGAGATGACACCTATTTTTCCTTTTTAAGAAAATTTGTGCATACATTTCATGGGCAGCTGATTCTTTCCCAGGTAATATATGAGTACTTGTGAGTCTGTGGGGATGTGGTATGTGGGGAATAGGTTATATGAGTATTAAAAAGTGGGGGAAAGATTTATGATTTAATGCAATAGGAAAAATAGGAAGTTAATGAAGTGGACATAGGAAAGTGTTGTTTTAGGGAGGGTGATCCCCCTGTAGTTTTGGGACCATCTGAGACCCAAAGCTGTCCTGTGCAGGGATGTAGATAGTTGAATCTTAAGTGATCTTAAGAACAGAAGCAAAAAAAGCAGTCCTGCTGTTCCTCTACCTGCAGTGATCTTTGCAGGGTTGGCTCCTTCTTATCCTTTTGTCTCAGCTCAAATGCCACACACTCAGAGTCACCCCAGCTAATCAGATCTGCATCCACCCTGCTAATCTCTACCCTTTGCCTTTTCATTGCCTTCATTGTCATTGCCATTAATTATCATTTTATTTGAGGCCCGGTGCACGAATTTGTGCATGGGTGGGGTCCCTCAGCCTGGCCGGCAATTCGGGGCCGATCAGGGCCATGGGAGGTTGGCTGGTGGGGGCAGGGGCTGTGGGAGGTTGACCAGCTGGCCAGGGGGAGAGGCCACGGGAGGTTGGCCGGCTGCCTTGATCAGGGCCAGCCAGCTGAGGGGGGCAGGGGGGGGCGGGACCGCAGGAGGTTGGCTGTGGAGCGCACTGACCACCAGGGGGCAGCTCCCTGGTGGTCAGTGCATGTCATAGCAACCGGTCGACCGGTTGTTCGGTTGCTTAGGCTTTTATATATATAGATTTTTCATTTAAGATCACTTGGGTTTTTTTTCTTTCTCCTCCATTCTATGTATAAGCTCATGAAGGCCAGACCATGCTCTTTATTTGATCAATACTTAATACATGATTGACAAACAGTATGTGCACCAAATATATTTGATAAACTGAGAGATTGACAAGATACACTGAAATATTCAGACAGCCTGACCTCAAAACTATCAGAGAAAGACTTTCTGTTTACATGGGTGTGGGGCCAAGCTGCACATAGGAGTAAGCAAGTTAACAAACAGGGATTGACTCTGGAAGCCGTGCTTGTAGCAGGCACCAAAACCTGCGGGGGCAAACTCCACTTTTTTGGGTTTTTTAAATCTTTTTTTATATTTTATTTCCTATTTTATTTCTTTCTTCTTTTTTTTCCTTTCATATCTCTTATTTCTCTCTTTCCTTTACTTATTCTATTTTTTCTCTTTTCTTTTTTTATTCTTTTTGCCATTTTTCTTTTCCTATTCTATATTTTATTTTATTTATTATTATTACTTTTTTTATGTGTGTGCCTCCCACCTGGTCATGCTCATTCAGCTTTATGGTACAATGGGGCCATCCACTTGTGACCCAAGGCCAGCTATTCCCTGGAGAGCAAGCAGGTGGTGTCCCTCTCCTACAACCTTGTGACCCTCATGCTCAACCTGCTCATCTACAGCTTTCAGAACAAGTAGGTGAGGTGTGTCTTCAAAGAAGAGGGACCTATACTCTATGGCATCTCCAGTGATTCCAAAACTGTTTATCTAGTCCTCTGCTGGACACCCCTGCCGGGGGGGGCGGGAGGAGTGGCAGGTAGGAGGTGTCTTTTGTGCTTCAATATGGAGGACCTGAATTCTTTCTGATCCTCTTCTGGTGATTTCCTGTTTTTGTTTTAATATATTTTTATTGATTTCAGAGAGGAAGGGAGAGGGAGAGAGAGAGAGAAACATTAGTAATGAGAGAGAATCATCAATTGTCTGCCTCCTACACACCCTACACTGGGGATCCAGCCCGCAACCCAGGCATAAGCCTGGACTGGGAATCAAACCGCAACCTCCTGGTTCATAGGATGACACTCAACCACTGAGCCACGCCGGCCGGGTGGATTCCCTATTTTGAAAATGGCACCAACATCCCTAATGACTGCCTTGAATTCAGCCATCCTCCAGGCTTATTATTTTTTCTTTTAATTTTTTTATTCCTTCTTTCTATTCATGTTCTTGTTCTTTTTGCCTCTTGTCTTTTATTATTCCTTCTTTGCCTCTTTTTTTCTCTTTTTATTCTTTTTTTCTGTTGTTGTTTTTGTTAGTGGTGGGTTGCTTTTTTTTTCCATGTTGTTTTTTGCTTTGTTTTGTTGTGTTTTATTTTGTTTTGTTCTGTCAGCACCTGTGCAACAGTTTGCATGGCATGGTTGGGGTTGAGTCTCACAGGCAGCCAGCCCAAGGGCCGAGCCTACCTACAAATGGGGCAACAGGTGTCAAGACCCAATTAGAACTGGAGTGCAAACATAACCCACACAAGGGACATTCCTACACTCAGCTCAAGAGATCAAGGAGACTACACCACTGTGTCTTTGAGAACACCCACTACAGGAGGCCACCCTACCAAGCCTGGGAGTCATAGCAATTCTATCTAATACATAGAAACAAATAAAAATGGGAAAACAAAGAAACAGGCCCCAAATGAAAGAACAGGAGGAATCTTCAGGAAAAAAAGCTAAATAAGATGGAGGTAAGCAATTTATCAGAAAAAAAGTTCAAAGTAATGTTTTTAAGAATGCTCAGCAGCATGAAAAAGGACATAGAAACCATGAAAAACAACTAGTTGGAAATAAAAAATAACATATCTGAATTAAAGAATACAGTGGAAGGAGTGAACAGTAGGTTAGATGAAGCAGAGTATGAAATCAGCAAATTAGAAGATAAGAAGATAAGATAGAAAAAAATCAGTCAATCAGAGCAACAAAAAGAAAAAATAATTGATAGCCCTAGCTAGTTTGGCTCAGTGGATAGAGTGTTGGCCTGCAGATGGAAGGGTTCTGGGTTCAATTCCAGTCCAGGGCACATATCTCGGTTTCAGGCTCCTCCCCGGCCTGGGCCCTGGTTGGAGCTCGTGCAGGAGGCAACTAATCTCTCACATCGATGCTTCTCTCTGTTTATCCTTTCCACTTCCACTCTTTCTAAAAATCGATGGAAAAATATCCTCAGGTGAAGATTAAATAATAATAATTTTTTAAAATTATAAAATAAATAAATAAATAAAAAGCATGAGGATAGTTTAAGGGAACTTTGGGACAATATGAAAAGTAACAACATCTGTATCATAGGGGTACAAGAGGGAGAAGAAAGTGAGCAGAGATAGAGAACTTGTTTGAAGAAATAATGACAGAAAACTTCCTTAACCTGGTGAAGGGAAAAGTCACACATGTTCAGAAACCACAGAGAGTCTCAATCAAGGTTAACTCAAAGATACCCACACCAAGACACATCATAGTTAAAATGGCAAAGGTTAAAGACAAAGAGAGAATCTCTTTGTCTTTCAAAGGCAGCAAGAAGGAGATAGTCGGTTACCTACAAAGGAGCTCCCACAAGGATGTCTGTCAGCTGATTTCTCAACAGAAACACTACAGGCCAAAAGGAAAAGGTATGAAATATTCAAAGTAATGAAAGACAAAGATCTGAAACCAAGACTGCTCTATTCAGCAAGGCTATCATTTTTTTTAAGAACCAGAATTGTAAGAACTGTTAAAGAGACAGATGTAAGAAGAAGAAAGAGAGAAATAGAGAAACATAGGCATAAAGAATAAAAATGGCAATAAATAAATACCTATCAATAACAACCTTAAATGTAAGTGGATTAAATGCTCCAGTCAAAAGTCATAGGGTAGCTGGATGGATAAGAAAACATAAACCATATATATGCTGTTTACAAGAGACCCACCTCAGAACAAAAGACTCATAAAGGCTGAAAGTGAAGGGATAGCAAAAAATATTTCATGCAAATGAAAATAAAGGCTGGGTATTAATACTCATATTTGACAAAATGAACTTTAAAACAAAGGCCATAAAAGAGACAAAGAAAGTCACTACATATATATAAAAAGCATATATATGGTGGATTTTAAGGGAGAGATTGACAGCAATACAGTCATAGTAGGGGTCTTTAATACCCACTGACATCACTGGATAGATCTTCCAGACAAAAAATCAACAAGGAAACAGCAACCTTAAATGACACTAGATCAAGTGGATTTAATTGATATTTACAGAACATTTCATCCCAAAGCTACAGAATATATATTCTTCTCAAGTGCACATGGAACATTCTCAAAGATAGAACATATGTTAGAACACAAAATAGTCTTTACAAGTTCAAGAAGATTGAAATCATATCAAACATCTTCACCTTAGCTGGTTTGGCTCAGTGGATATAGCGTTGGTCTGTGGACTGAAGAGTCCCAGGTTTGATTTCAGCCAAGGGCACATGCCTGGGTTGCATTCTCAATCCCTAGTGGGGGCGGGGGAAGTGTTCAGGAGGCAGCCAATCAATGATTCTCTCTCATCATTGATGTTTCTATCTCTCTCTCCCTCCCCGTTCCTTCTAAAATCAATAAAAATATATTTTAAACACACACACACACAACAAACATCTTCTTGGATCACAATGGCATGAAACTAGAAATAAACTATAATAAAAACATTCAAACCCATGGAGGCTAAATAGCATGTTATTAAATAATGAATGGGTTACCAATGATATTAAGGAAGAAATAAAAATCTGTACGACATTGAAGAAAGAAATAGAGGAAGATACAAACAAGTGGAAGCATACACCATGTTCATAGATTCGAAGAATTAGCGTCATTAAAATGTTCATATACTCATCATTCTATAGATTCAACACAATTCCTATTAAAATACCAATGGCATATTTCATAGATCTAGAACAAATATTCCAAAAATTGATATGGAAACAAAAAAGACCCCAGTTAGCCTCAGAAATCTTAAGAAGAACAAAGTTGGAGCAATCACAACACCAGATATCAAACGATACTATAAAGCCATTGTAATCAAAACAGCCTGGCATTGCCTTGGCTGGTTTTGCTCAGTGGATAGTGTCGCCTGCCAACCAAAGGGTCCCAGGCTCAATTCCAGTCAAGGGCATGAGCGTTGGTTGTAGGCTTGATCCCCAGCCCTGGTCGGGATGTGTGTGGAGAGCAAGCAATTAATGTGTCTCCCTCACATCGATGTTTCTCTCTCTGTCTCTCCCCCTCCCTTCCACTCTCTCTAATAAGCAATGAAAAAATATCCTCGGTGAGGATTAAAAAAAAAAACAACACAAAAAAAACAGCCTGGTACTAGCATAAGAACTGGCATATAGGTCAATGGAACAGAACAAAGAGCCTAGAAATCAACCCATGTCATTATGGTCAGATAATATTTGACAAAGGAGGCAAGAGCATCAATGGAGCAAAGACAGTCTCTTCAATATATTGTGTTGGGAAAATTGGACAAGTACATGCAAAAAAAATAATGAAACTAGACAATCAACGTACACCATACACAAGAATAAACTCAAAATGGATAAAAGACTTAAATGTAAGCCACGAAACCATAAAAATCCTGGAAGAAAACATAGGCAGTAAAACTTTAGACATATTATGTAGCAGATATATTTTTGTGGATATATCTCCTAGGGCAAGAGAAACAAAGGAAAAAATAAACAGATGTGACTACATCAAACTACAAAGCTTCTGAACAGCAAAAGAAACCACCATCAAAATGAAAAAGGAACCCACTGTATGGGAGAACATATTTGCCAATGATACATCTGATAAGGGGTTAATATCCAAAATGTATAAAGAATTTATACAATTCAACACCCGGGAGACAAACAATCCAATTAAAAAGTGGGCAAAGGATCTGAATAGATACTTCTCCAAAGAGGACATACAGATAGATGGCCAATATGTATATGAAAAAATGCTCAACATCAGTAATCATCAGAGATGCAAATTGAAACTATAATAAGATATCAATCACTTCATACCAGCCAGAGTGGCTACCATCAATAAATCAGCAACAAGCGCTGGTGAGGATGTGAAGAAATGGGAACCCTCCTGCACTGCTGGTGGGAATGCAGGTGGTGCAGCCACTGTGGAAGACAGTATGGAGTCTCCTCAAAAAATTAAAAATGGAACTGCCCTTTGACCCAGTGAATTCACTTCTGGGAATATATCCTAACAATCCCAAAACACCAATCAGAAAGAATATATGCATAGCAGCATTATTTGCAATAGCCAAGGTCTGGAAACTGCCCAAGTGTCCATCAGTAGCTGAGTAGATAGAAAAGCAGTGGACATAATGGAATACTATGCGACTGTAAAAAAGAAGAAGTAACTCTTGCTCTTTGCAACAGCATGGAGGTACCTGGAGATTATTATGCTAAGTGAAATAAGCCAGTCAGAGAAAGACAGATATCACATGATTTCACTTATATGTGGAATCTAATGAACAAAATAAATTGACTAACAAAATAGGAAAAATAAATTGACAAACAAAATAGAATACAAAAATTTCCTGTATTCACTGAAAATTCTGGAACATTGTTCTCTGCAGTCCTGTAAATAAAGATCCAGTTGTAACTGGAAAATGCAAAAGGACAGAATTAAGGTTAACTCTGTATTTCCTGCTTCTCAAGCAATTAAATTCTCCCCCTTGCCATTGAATTAATGTAATTCCCCCCACACACACACACATATAAATGAGCATACATTACTGGACAAATATGAGATAAGTTGATATGGGCTCTAAGGAGATAATGAAGTGAAATTAGTAAGAAATTATACTTACCGTACTTGGATTTTTAGGAAGCAAGAATACTGCCATTCAACCAGTGAAATACCTGCATTGTAACCTATTAATAAGTCAGTTGTGATAAATTAATTTCTAATTCAACATTTATACAAAATAATTATTACAGTAAAGATAATGACTTAAAGAACCTCAAGCAAAAGTAATTCTTCACATTCTAAATATTGCTCTTGCTTTCTTTGGTGTTTCCTCCATGTACTGCATCCACTGCAGGTGCAAGGAGGGACTTCAGATGTGAGGGGTCATTGTATTTGGGCTTGTCCCCTTCCATTTGCCTGCATGATCCATGCTTTTAATATTAGTTGATATTCTTTGTATCATTTATTTTGGGTGAAGCAAAATACACAAGTGAAGTCTTAGAAGGAGAACGGGATTTGCAAGAAATAAATTTTTCATTACTGCCCTTAATAGGGAGTCTTTGCCTCTGGGAGAAATGGACCTACTACGCACCCATAAACTCATAGAAAGGGCTGGCAGGCTTCGCCAATGTGCGATGGCTTTGCCTCATGTGTTGATAGAAGAAGAACACCTTGTCATACAAATTGTTTGCAGATTTCCAGTCCTCCGTGCTTCCATCTGTTTGTAATCCCAGGGTCTGACCTGCTGCTTCCATCTCACATTCTGAGTTAAATGGGTCTCATCAGAGCCTGCACTACCAGGATCTGTAGGCTGAGGGGGTGTGGGGGCGGGGCTTCCATCCAGGGATGTTCATTTGGCAGTTCCATAGCTGGTCATCTGAGCTCTTGCAAGGACCTGCTTTACAAGATTGTCAGTTTATTCAAAGAAAAACTTCAAGTATAGATCCCAAAAACGTTACAGGTTGTTCTTGTTTGCTGCATGTTCTATATTTTTTCCGAAGTGTATCTTGTCAAATCTTCAGATGGTAGGAGGTTTAATTTAGCAAGTAAAAATGCACAACACCAGGTTAAATTTGCATTTCAGATAAACAGCAAATACTCTTTTAGTGTAAGGATGCCTCCAATTTAACTGGGCACCCAGTATTGTATCTGACAAACCTAGTTGAGGCCAAATCAAGATTCTAGAATTAGATAGACTGACATGGTTGGTCACAATATTCAAGGTGCAAATTAAATATAAATGATATTGAACATTCATATGTGATTTTTTTAGGCCTTATGGTATTGTGGTTATGTTTTAAAAGAGTCCTTATATTTCAGAGCAATTTACTGAAACATTGATTGGTGAAATTATGTAATGTTTGGGGTTCGCTTCTAAATAATACAAGAGGCAGATAAGTGGATGGGGCATATTGGCTGTGGGTTGATGGGTACATGAAGGTTAATTATACTCTTTTGTCTTCTTTTGAATGCGTTTGAAATTTTCCATAGTAGAGGAAACAATGAGTGTGTGTAAGTCATGTCTTTAGGTTTAAAAAATTTATTATTGAAACATCCTAGGTGTCAGTGGCACTAGGAGAGGCTGCAGGCGGAGCCAGGGAACCGGAACCATTCTGGCTGTAGCCGCTTGGTTCCTCCCCGGGGACGGCCGGGGATAGTCATGTCTTGAGCTCTGTCATTATCTTTCCAAAGAGCAAAGCAAGAAAGTTGCAAGTCACTCACCAGCCTCTCGGCGCTGAGGTCGTTCAGTCCGTAACAGGGCTCGTGACGGGGACTCGGTTAGTTGGGGGACAGAGCTTTATGGGGGACAGCCTTTTGAAAATACATAGTTGAGACATGAAATGAAATCAACTGTTGCTTTAGGTCAAAATAACAAACACTACATTTTTCAATTTGTTTGTGGTTTTCACAAAACAAATCTCTTTACCTGATTGGACTGAAGCGCCGTAATTAATACATCGGGCGCAATGTCCAATGATCCAGCACGGGCCCAGCTTCGCGAGCAGGTGAGCTGCCGGCAGCCGGGGGCAGTGACACATCGATGGACATTTTTCATGGTTTGCTTTTTTCTTATTCCAGGATTTCCTTCAAATGCTGTTGGAGAACATCCCAGAAGAAAAAAGGTGAGGACCAACTTAGGAATTAAGAGCCTCGTTTTACTTTTAATGTTAAAAACGACCCTGCCATTGCCTGGCTTACTAAGCTGAGGAAGTTCAGTCTTCCTCTCTTAATAGAGGCAAGGACCTGGCCCAGCCAGCAGGAGTCCTGGGAGCATCAGCCAAACTTAGAAATGGGCTCATGTGAATAGTGGGAGCTAGTGGGCACAGGGATTCCCCAGAGTTGGGCCCCCCCCCCCCCCCCCCCCCCCCCGCCCCAGCCAAGTGGTGTATGAGGCAAGTCAAGGACACAGTGTGGCCTCAGCTGCTGTGGAAAGAGTGGCAGAGAGGACGGTCCTAAAGCCCCGGGGGCTGTATAGAACATGGCTCCATACGAGGAAACACTGTTCAGTTGAAGGTGAAAGGTGGGGTAGTAACCAAAGCCTGGGATTTGAAGTCGGGCTCTTCAAGGTTCTAACCCGGCTCTGCCCCTTCCCTCATATAACATTCGGATCAGGTCACTTCGTCCCTCCAAATTCCTGTTTTCTACCCTCTGGCAGGCTTTCCCGGAGGATCAAAGGGGATAACACATGAAAAGTAGGTGCTCAATTAATGATGGATGTAGTTAGAACAATAACAGCTCTGTGCACCAGGCACTTTCGGGATCTGCTTACAGGAGATCATTGGCTCCTCATTACAGCACTCCGCCTCCGCTGCTGCCGCCACCTCCTCCTTTTTCTCTTTCTTCATCGTCATCATGATTATTTTAAGCCAATACTTCATGGGAGGTTACTGTTTGCAGGCGCTCAGTTAATCCTCCGAACATTGCTAGCTGGGGCGTTGTGTTTTATTCCTGTTTTACCGGAGGCCTGAGGTGCCGAGGGCTGAGTGACCAGCCAGGGCGTCACAGCTCCATGTGGCAGGTGGGCCCTGCTCCCAGGAGGCCTGGCTCTGGAACCTCTGCTCTTATCCACAGTGTCCCACATGAAGAAACTGAGGCTCCCAGAGGCGGAGTAACTTAAAGATCCCTAGTGAGCAGGGGAGTGAGCCCGGTTCGGAGTGAGGCTGTCTGGGCCTCGCCCATGCTCTTTGCAATGCAAGCTCGCTCTGGAAAGAGGGAGACCTCGTCCTGGGAGGGGCCCAGTTTTAGTCTAGCTGACCTCCTACGGGGGTTCCAGGGGGTTTAAGACCTACAGCAAAGTCTGGATTAGATTCATTCCAACCCTTTCTTTCTAATTTCCTATCTTAATTTGGGCACTAAAAGCGAATACCCTGAAACATAATTTCTAATAGCAAAATTGGTATTGAAACATTAAAGGGGGCATCTTGGGAAATTAACATTTCTTTCAAGAAGAGCCAATATTACTCTCCTTCCTGACCCACAGTTTTAGCCATGATTTTATGCTCGGAGGAGATTTCCAAATGTGGAGACGAATCCCTGTGCACAGACATTGACTTGGACCCAGGCGAGGCCAGACACCTCCATGTCGACCGCCTGCCTGTAGGCCGCCCGATGTGGGGGTCGTGAGGGTCAGGTGTCAGGACTTGTGCTGCCAGGAGGTGACATGAAGTTCAGGGAGGATCTGGGGGCCATGAGGGCGTGGAGAGTTGTTCATCTTCTGCCGTCTACCTCCAATTCTTGCTTCAACAGTTAGAAATGTTATTGTTATGCTTTTTTTTTTTTCAATCAGATGGGAACTCACACATAACACAAATTAGTGCATCATACAGAATTAACATAGCCATATTGTTTGTTAAATTCCTTAATGTACCTCTTTCTGCTCCTGCCTTTGATGCTGAAGGAAGTCTTATCCAGGGAGAGTGCATGGGCTGCAGTCATTGGCTTTTCCAGGAGGCCGCTCGAAGGAGGTGTGGCTTGTTTGGGAAGGTCTGAAACAGTTCGGATTTACCATCTTTTATTTTTAAACAGAAATGTGGGTTTTTGTCATGCAAAAATCACATCAGAGGTGGTCATTATTCCTAAGGCCAAGAACAATAGTTTACCTGCAATATTTTTCCCTTTTTCTTGTATACCTGCCTGGAATAACTTTCCAGGTCCTCTGATAGGATGGAGTGCTTTCCCTACGAACTAACACCGAATGAAACAAGAAGAAAACTAATAGAAATTGTGCATTACCTCTTGTCACCAAAGTCTGTTTCTGAGCAATGACTCTGCATTCTTTCAGAACTTCTTAGGGCACAATTATAGTCATTTTAATGGACGCAACGAAGTGCCTTATTAGTTGGGGAAGTCTTTCTTTGTATCCTCTTCCTAATAAGGGTATGGAGTTCACTTGGACGGCCCTGAGCCTGCTGGTTCTGGGGGACCCGGATATTATCATTGTGAATATGTATGGAGGTGACACACTGTGGGCCCACAAAGAGGCCTTTGTCATGATGTGGAAGCTACGAGCAGCATCTCTGTGTGACAGTGGCCAGCGGCACCCACCTCCTTCCCCTCTGGGGGGATGCCTCTCCAGGGAGGATCATGTTCTGGCCAACAGGTTTAAGGTTCTTTTAAAAATTCTCCTTAAAAGTTAAGGCAGCTTCTTTCCTACAGTGTCCTGGAATACTTTTTGAAACTCAACCATCTTTCCTGCTAACCTCAGAATCAAATTCAGCTATTGAAACAGACCGTCTACCCTTTTACCTGTGCAGCATATTGTACCAATTTTATCTACTTCTCCCAAGCATATGAAGGCCCCACGCCTGCCCCTGAGCCCCTAATCGTTGGCCTTACTGCAAAACGATTCTCAGGCGCATCTGTTGGGCACATGAGCCGTTCTGTAGGGCAAGGGTTTTCAGATCAGACCCGCAGTCAGGGTTCAGGGGCTGTCATGCTGTTTTTGCATTGTTCTCTTGCTTCAGTTAATTTAACATTCTCTATTGAGCACCTTTCCTACCGGGTAGGGTGCTAGGCTGGACACAGGGAGCAGAAAGGAATAAATCCCATGCCCCGACCCCAGGGAGCTCCTAGTTGAGCTGCAGGCATACCCGAAGCAGAGCACTGGGACTCCGTGTGGGAAGTGCTCTGGGGAGCTTCCCAGTCCTGGGTGCACAGAGAAAGGGCTCATCAGCCCTCGCCTCCAGCCTCCAGGCAAAGAAGTACCACTGGAGGTTTTAGGTAGGGGAGTGCCACCAGCAGATTGGAGAGGTACTCTGGGGTGGGGGCAGCATGGGAGACAGATGGACTTAGGAGAACTAGAAGTCAGGAGACCAATTAGACCAGTACAGCAGTTCGCTGGAGAGATCTAGAGCTGGAACGAGGGCAGGGATGCTGGCGGTGGCAGTGTAACGGGCAATCAGAGAGATTCCGGAGATGAGACTTGGAGATGGGCTGTGGGGTTGAATGGAGGCCTCCAGCATGAAGTTGGCCTTTCCTTCTGGCCGCTCAGTCACTGAAGTTGCACTGGAAATACCGGGGCCCTGTTTAGTCTGGGGAGTCGGTGTGGCGCAGAGGGGATGGGAGGGGCAGTGTTTGGAAGTGGAAGCAGGAGATAAAGAGTTGTGTTTTAGACATTGTCAGTGAGAGGTTTCTGTTTAAAAGATGATATTTAAGAGACTAAGGGAAGGAAAGGCTGGAAGTGCTTGGAAGGAAATGGGGACAAATCCGGGGCCCTGGCCTGCCTGGCGAAAGCTCACTCCTATGGTATCGACAGCAACCAGTTCTTTCTTTGCTCGTCAATGACTGGGTCTGTGTGTGCGTGTTCATGTGTTAGTTTCATTCAGTGCTTTTCCTCCCCCTCGGGGCTGGGCGTACTTGTTTTATAAATGTTAAGTCAGCAACCTGCATTGTACACCCCAGCACCAACTGCTTGTTTTGATCAAGAAAGTAAATAACTGTGTAAAGTTGAGATGTGCACTAGTTCCAGAACAAGAGCACTTTCCGATCCAGACCGAGCACTGAAGGCCCAAAGCTCGCCTCCGTCTAGTACCCGAGCTCCCAAGGTCTTTCCATCCATCCTTCAGCTCAAGTGGCAGCTGGGCCATGCGCTTTCCTTAAAGATGGGGATAGAACATGACCTTTAGAATCCCACGAGGCAGAAGATGGGAGTAAAGAGTGAAATGTCAGTAAAGACATTTCTCCTGATCAACACGACATTGATAGGAACAAGCAGCAGATGTGGCTGATACTCCACCCTCAGAAATAGCTGAGCGAGCAGTGCGGCATGCGCCATGCCGTTCCCACGCAAGCCTGGTCTATTTCCTTGTACTTTAACGTCACAAAGAGACAAGCAATTGCTCACTTTGTGGCTTCCAACCAACATCTTGCCAGGACTTCTGACATATTCTCTCCCTTGCTGCAGTAACCACGTGTGAACACATTCATAGCTCACAGGGACTGGAGACAGACCCCTGCAGTGCCATCGCCTTCCGGGACATAGGATTCCGGAGAAGGCTATTCTCCAGCCAGAGGGTGGGCCCGCTAGCAGATGTGGCTGATACTCCACCCTCAGAAATCAGCTGAGCGAGCAGTGCGGCATGCGCCATGCCATTCCCACGCAAGCCTGGGTCTATTTCCTTGTACTTTAACATCACAAAGAGACAAGCAATTGCTCACTTTGTGGCTTCTAACCAACATCTTGCCAGGACTTCTGACATATTCTCCCCCCTGCTGCAGTAACCACGTGTGAACGCATTCATAGCTCACAGGGACTGGAGACAGACCCCTGCAGTGCCATCGCCTTCCGGGACATAGGAGTCCGGAGAAGGCTATTCTCCAGCCAGAGGGTGGGCCCGCTGCTGCTGTGGAGGCCCCGGAGGCCTCAGTCAGGAGGTGGAGTGCTGCTCACAGGCCCAGAGCTGGAAGGCATGCAGCGAGGGCCTGTGTGCTTGTAGCTATCTGTAGGAAATCAATTTCCATAGCGATCAGACATGCAGGAGAGTAATTTCCTGTAAGTCCTGGGTCCCGGTGAAGTGGAAATGCTCCTGCTCGTCTGTGGTGATGATTCAAGCCACATGACCTCAGGCGGAAACAGCCCCCAGGGCTCGGACTCTGAGTGTCTGGGTGAGAAAAGCCAACCTTTGGCTTCACCACTGCGGCAGATCCTTGTCCAGACCGAAAATTCACCCGCAGTCACGTCAGTAGTTGGGATCAAAACGCAAAAACTATGTAAGTGCGTTATTTTATTTTCCTCAAACACATCTTCCATTTCTTCCCTGAATATTGAACATTTTCACGCTGTGTCTCATAATTCCCGTGGGAGGTAAGGCCCCTTAGAGGACCTATAATTTTTTCTAGCAGCTGGAGTTCATGCTTTCATCTTCTTCTCCGAGTTTAAGACCTTCGTCCACGTCAGCAGTCCACAGGCAGGTGTGGGTGCGGGGTGATGTCTGCACGGATGTTGGGAGTCCAGAAACCCGTCTTGTCTTTAGCCTTTTGTCTGGGTTGACGTTGGCCACTCTTCTCATGCTTAGTTGCTCCATCTGCTAAAAAGCCACACCCAGTTGACACCCACTTCACAAGGATAATATGAAGAATGAAGTAATAATGGTTATAAGATGCTTCAAACCTTCCCAAAGGAAAGTGATCTGAAACTTCCCTCATAGGGGAGTGTCTTCTGCTCCTGCATGCAGCTGAATGATGAACCCTCCTGCCCTCACACCTTTGCCCCTCCCAAGAATTTCCCCATCTCTTCAGAACTCTAATCCAAGGGCAGGCAAACAGGGCACCTTCAGTGCAAGATGGAGGGGTCAGCGTTGTTTGGAGCAGGCTTGTCTGCACCATAAATCATAAAGCGATGCATCATGACACCTGGCAATAATATTGGTTTTGCACAGATATTAAATGAGATTTTTTTTTTTTAGTGTATGGTACATAGAAGATGTTCGATGAGCAATATTTTTAAAAATATTATTTATTTTTAAGTTACAGTTGATGTACAATATTATATTAGTTTCAGGTGATTAGACATTTATATAACTTACAAAGTGATCACCTCAATAAAATTAGTACCCATTTGACACCATATATAGCTATTACAATATTATTGACTATATTCCCTATGCTGTACTTTACATTACCATGTCTGTGCTGTAGCTACCAATTTGTACTTCCCAACCCCTTCACCTTTTCATCCATCCCCTCAACCCCCTCCAGCTGGCAACCATCAAAATGTTCTCTGTATCTATGAATCTGTTTCTGTTCTGCTTGTTTGTTTATTTCATTTTTTAGATTCCCCATATAAGTGAAATCATCTGGCATTTGTCTTTCTCTGTCTGACTTATTTCACTCAGCACAACACCCTCTAAGTCCATCCATGTTGTTGCAGATGACAAGATTTCATTTCTTTTTATAGCTGAATACTATTTCATTGTATATATGCACCATTTCTTTATCCAATCATCTGTTGATGGGCACTTAGGTTACTTTCATATCTTGGCTATCTATATAATAAAAGCCTAAGCAACTGTTATGGCGGAACAACCAGAATGACCAGTCGCTATGATGCACACTGACCACCAGGGGGCAGACGCTCAACTCAGGAGCCAAGATAGGCCATTTGTATGGAAAAGCCACAAGAAAGGGTTTGGGTGAGACTGCAAGTTGGGTGGGGCAGTGTGTCAGGGAATCACCAGGGTGGGGAGAACTATGTTAGCCAGGCTGATGGAGATGCAGGTATGATGCTTGTCTGCTGGCTCTGAGGGGAGGGTTCAGCAAAGGAACAATGGCTTCTGCCAGCACTTCTGTCCGGAATAAAACTGCACACCCCAGCTCTTGCCTTGATTCCAAGCAATTCAGTTCCTCGTTGCTTGTCCCTGGTGCCCCAGTGTTGGAGCTTAGAGTGAGTCTGTCAGCGAGTCAGTCCATGTGTGGGCCCTTTAAGAGGAACACCTGGGACTCCAGCAGCCCTCCATTTCACTCAGCCACAATCTCTGCTGGTTTTTACAGCCAGAAGTTATGGGGACTTCTCTTCCAGACACTGGAACCCTGGGCTGGAGAGCCTGATGTGGAGCTGGGAACCCTGGCTCCTCAGGGGGGACCTCTGCAGCTGAGATATCCTTCCCAATGTTTAACCATCACACGTGGGGGTGGGACCGGCCCATTCCATGTCCCCACCCCTCCTATTGATCTTGATGTGGCTGCTTCTGGATCTACGTAGTTATAGGACTCCTGTTCAGCTAGATTTCAGCGGTTCTGCACGATGGTTCTGTAATTTAGTCGTAATTTTGATATGGTTGTTGCAGGTTCTGAGTACTGCATTTACTAGTCTCTACGCTGACATCTTGATCAGATCAATAGTTATTCCTTTAGTACCCTTTGTTGGCAGTGACAGAGGAGTTTGTTCTGTTTTTAGTGCCACTGTATAATGGTATCTGTGCGTGCAGATACTGAACATGGCAAAGCAAAATGTGCCTTAATATTTTCCCACGAAATAACCTTCACAGTTGGCCTGGCCAGTTGTCCAGGTTGGAGACTGTAGGGCGGATTATACATGGGCGTAGACATGCTATGGAAAGTCACCCTGCAGAGAGTGACGGGGCCCACTGTTTGACTCCATCTTTCACCCCCCAGCAGGACTCGCCAGCGCCACCCTCCACTTTCATTCCCAGCATCTCACCTCCGTTTAGGTCCCTTCTCATCACCTCTCATTTGGACACACTCACAGCTTCCCCTTTGGCCTCCCTGCCTCCAGCCTCTTCTCCCTCAGTTAGTCTTCCTTGACTCTGTTCTGTTCATGCCATTCTGCAGCCTTGCTTCAGAGCCTCATCGATGGAGCCAAAGCCCGTGGCAGGACTTCAGGGCCCTCACAGGACGCCCGTGTCCTTTGTCACCTGATTCTGTGTGCCAGTCCAGCCGACTGTGGCTTTTCCTGCCTGTGCTCCCCTTCCATTTCTACTGGCGCAGCCATCCGCCGTGACGGTTGGAGCCTTGCCTTCTTTAAGAACATTTCCCTAACGCACCTCCTTCCAGCTGTCCCACCGTAAGCAGCCCTGGCCTCTCCACACACATGGGGCCCACGTCTCTCCACCAGCACAGGCAGCATTCTGACCCGTGTCCTGTGTCCCTGTCGGACAGCCTGGCCCTGGGCTCTCGCACCTCATCCTTCCACAGAGCCTTGTGCCGGGAGGCACCCGCCGAGTTTCTGCCACATGGAGAAAGCGCTGCCTGTGCTCACTTCTCCCCTGAGGACTGGGACCTCACTCCGTAATGGCATCCCAGCACTCGACTCCCCAGCCCCTCCCAGGACACCCCGAAAGAAGTGTCTTCGAGCTAAAGTTCCCCGAAGGAAATTTATGTCCCTGTCCTCTTTCGCCCTCCTCCCTGGGGGTGCTCGGCAGCTGTGTGCGGGCTTGCAGAACCCGTGGGAAATGGTGTGAAGTCGCTCCCCAGACTCCTCCTCTTCAGGATGTTTCATCCCAGTTCCCTTGCCCTCCACGTGGGTCTAATGTGTTTGCCTCTTTGATCATCACCCGTCTCTTTTCTACGTTGTTTCTAAACTCTCACCTTCCCTCCAGTTGAGGCAGGTTTAAGAATGCCATTTCCCCGGAGCCGCAGTCAGCCCCTTGCTACGAACGCATTTCCTGAGTATCCCTTGCAGGTTGGGTGACCAGAGCGTTGGGCCCCAGAGCTCCCGACACAGGAGTGTCCCTCTCCAGCTGGAAAGGCCGCAGATGAACGGCCCCTTGGAGAGGAGCACCAGGGAAGGCGGGGCAGGGGAGAATTGGGCCTTGCCTCTGAGCCAGGGCGGACGATGTAGAGGCTGCAGAACCTCCACAGCTGCTCAAGCGCTGGGGTAGGAACCAGGCCCCAACCAGTGACATGCCCTCCTGGGTGCCGGGTAAGGTGGCGGTGGTCTGCATTCATTCCCAACAAGGGCAGGCCTTCACTGAGCATCTTGTCTTCAATGGAAATTATAAAACGTATCTTGCCTAAGGGGAGGCGGCGGAGGCGGCGGCGGCGGCAGCATCTGCGCCTCCCTCCGCTCCCACAGTGATCATGCGTTCCTGCTCGTCCTCGCTAATTGTCACCGTGAAGTTCCAATTTCATTTGGACGCACCCAGTAGGCAGTGCTCAGGTTTCGTTTCGCCCCTCTGAGGAGGTGGTCGTGCCTGATGTGTCTGTGAACATGCCCGGGACCTGCACTGGCTCCCAGCCCGGCGTTCCTCCAAGGGCGGGAAAGGCCCGAGGTCGGCTGCTCAGGTTCAGGTTCATCCTCCACCGCAGACCACGTGGAGTGTGCGGGGCGCGCTGCGGGCGCTGTGGGCTGTGGCAGCGGCTCTTCCTCAGAGAACGGGCTTCTCTGACAGCCATGCTGTCCTGTGCCCGAATATTTGGAAAGACCCTCTGTCCTTAGTGCTCTATCTTCTAACCCTTTCCCTCTTGTTTTCTATTTGTAAAGGCTGGGTTTGTCTGTGGAAAGCATCTTCCGAGACTGGCTGGAGCGCCCGGGACTTCCCCAGGTGAGCCCGCCGCGCTTCCGGAGGGAGGAGAGAAGGGAGGTGCTTGCCTGTTAGAAATCGGAAAGAACCCGCACCCGAGGCGGAGTCTCCCATCCCTACGCCAGGAAGGCGATGGCCCGGCCTCTGCCCCAGGTGACACTGTCCCGAGGATGCTGCCCGCCCTGGGCCAAGGGGATGGGAGCGCCTGCCATGTGCGGTGCGGATTTTGGGTGGCGGTGGCGGCGCCGGGGTGGGTTTGCAGCTGGGGCTCCAGCTCTGTTCTTTGGATGTGGCCAGACAGTGAGCGGCCGCCGGCAGCTTTCTCTGACCCACTCCCCATGGCTTCTTCATCATGGTCTGCCCCTCCACTTCCTCCTCGAGCTGGACATCCCTTCCTCAGGCTGGCTTCGCACTCCAGTGACCGGCCAGATGCATTTCTGTCTTAGACACTGGGACCTGTCCCTATGAACTCCGTACTGTCTCCGAGCCTGGGCCAGCGCCGGCCCCTCCCAGGGGGGCATTCTGGGTGGGCTGGTCAGAGGACCCTGCAGGCCTGGAGCTCTCCCACCGGGCTGCCCACCATAGCATCCCCTGCACACCCCGCCCCCGGGTGGAAGTGGACCCCCACAGCAGAGAGAACCCTCCCTGGACCCGTTAGCCCCATTAGCCTGCTCGTTTCTGGTTTCATGGCTGGTATGTGAGCTTCCCTTTGGGAGTGTCTGAATGTCAATGAATGTCTGTGAACCATGAAATTAAGGAGCAGGAGGGGGTGTTCTCCATTACCTTCCACCCCTCCTCACATCTTTGTGCTGCTCCAGCACACGGGAATGTCGGCCACCAGCCGCCAGGAACTCATTCCTAGCAAAGTCGAATTGCCTTGGGCCACCTGTTAAAAGCTGTTTGTTTGGCCCAATCCTTCTGGAATCAAAAAGAGATTGAAATCCCGAGTCCTTAAAAGGCGAAACAAAGCAGGGGCGGGGAAGGCAGCACCTGGTCCTGGGAGGGCAGGGCTTTCAACTTGCACTGATTATAATGAGCCTCTGATTTCTAAGAAGGTACCTTCCGATCCAAGCTGCTCGCTGAGTACGAAAATCTCAGGGAAACAGGGTGAGGCCATCTGATCCTAAAAAGCCAGCCTGGCCCTTGTTTTAGTGGCGGGGGAGGGGGGAGGGCATCCCCTAGAGTCACTGCCAAGTGTGCCCAGGCGGGGCTGTTGCCAGGGTCTTGGACATTCTTAGCTGGGAAAAGTTGGGAGCTCAGAGAGCAGACTCCCAAATTTCCTGGATCCAAACAAGTCCGTGGAATTCGGCAGTTAGTCCCCAGGGAAGAGCTCAGAAAGAGGCCTTAGCCAGGGCCCAGCCTCGGGCTGTGGGGGGGCTGCCCTTCACTCTCAGGAGGCTCCCGATTTCCCCTGAAGAGGCTGAGGCCTGCCACCAGCAGGAGGTTTTGCTTTCCCTTAAAAGGGGGAAGGGTACCTGGAGAGGAGAGATTAGCCACTGAGCCACAGGTTCCTTCCAAAGGTCTAGGTGCATTAGTGACAGCTTATTGTGTAGACAAGAATCTCTGCTGTCAAAACACAGCCAGGTGCGGCGAGGCCAGCCCAGCTATAAATTGTCTTTAAGACCCAACTGGTATTTCCTTGGGTGCTTAACTGTTCAGTAAAAACAACAGCGTCCGGCAGGAAAGGGCCTGATTTAGTGCACTCTTCCCGCTGGTGAATGATCAGACGGCGCCTTTTCATCTCTGCCCGCTCTCTGCCCTCATTTGAATGGTTTATGGTGATTGCCTGCCCGCCTCCTTGAGCGCTCCTTCTCCTTTCCACGTCGGTGCAAGGCCCTGGAAGGCGGGGCCCTCTGGTTGCAGGAGCCTGGGGTGAATGGGACACCTTGTTCTTTGTCTCCATCACTGTGATATAAAGTTACGGGTGTCTGGGCCTGGAACGACAGCCGGAGCCCTGAAATCGCTCTGACGCTCTTTGTTCTCATTAAAAATTCCTGCCCCCCAGCAACTGAAGTCACTCGTGACAAAGGAGTCGCGTTCCACTGGTGAAGTTTTCATTCCGCGGGTTACAGTGGCTTTTTGTCTTCCTCAGGAGGGTGTGCCTTGCGGTTGGCCTTGATTTTCCTTTCTGGCCACATTGAATGGAAATCATTTTTAAAATGTGGAAATAGCTTCACCAGCAATAAAAAGTTAGCATGAGCCCCAAAGAAGTAAAAGAAATTGGATCCACACCTCCTCAAAGAGCACCCAACCCCATAACCTTTGGGTTTGCAAACAGATTAAAATTGATTCTACCATTGGTATTACAGATTATTTCCTTTCATGGCTTTTTTTTTCTGATTATAGAAGTATTACATATGTATTTTGGAATATAAAGAAGTTTGTAATAAAATAAAAATGACCCAGCGATAGTTTTTAAAATTAATCCTTTCAGTCCTTTTCCGATACGAATATGTAGTTTACCCTTTTCTTTGTCTCCCTTTTTAAAAATAAAAATAATATCTCCTCTGTAGCCAGTTCAAGCAGGAGCAAAATACACAGCGTCAAAGGCCTGGCCCTTCAGTCGCACCCACCAGAGGAAGCCACGCTGGTCACAGTTCGCATCTTCCTGCCACACGTGTCTGTGTCCGGGCTCCACAGCATGGAGGTGCATATTCAAAACACAATTGGAAGTCTTCACTTAAAAATACACCTGAAGCGAATGGTGTAGGGAAAACAGGACATGTATCTGTTCAGTTTTGGACCACATTCTTTTACCACATACAAAAATAAACTCATTTACATCAGTTTAAATGTAATGAGATTTAAATGTAAGACCTGAAACCATCAAACTCCCAGGAGAAAAAATAGGCAGTGAATTCTTCAACATTATTCCTGGCAAAAACTTTTGGGGCAAGGGCAACAAAAGAAAATAATAAACAAATGGGACTACATCAAACTAGAGAGTTTTTGCACAGCAAAGGAAACCATCAACAAAATGTAAAAACAACCCACTGAATGGGAGAAGATATTTGCCAATGATGCTTCTGGTAAGGGGTTAATATCCAAAATATATGAGGAACTTATACAACTTAACACTAATAAAAGCCCAATCCAATTTAAAAATGGGCAGAGGACCTGAATAGACACTTCTCCAAAGAAGACATACAGATGGCCATCAGACAAATGAAAAGATGCTCACTGTCACTAATCATGAGGGAAATGCAAATTAAAACCACAATGAGGTATCACCTCACACCTGTCAGAATGGCTGTCATCAATAAATCAACAAATAGCAAGTGCTGGCGAGAATGTGGAGAAAAAAGGGAACTCTCATGCACTGTTGATGGATTGTAAATTGTTGCAGCCACTGTAGAAAGCAGTATGGAAGTTCCTCAAATTATTAAAAATAAAGCTGCCATTTGATATAGCAATTCCACTTTTGGATATTATCCAAAGAAAACATAAGCACTAATTTTAAAAGATATATGTATCCCTATGTCCATTGCAACATTATTTATAATAGCCAAGATATGGCGGCAACCTAAGTGTCCATTGATAGATGAATGGATAAAGATATGGTGTATATGCAATGGAATATTAACTCAGCCATAAAATAGAATGAAGTCTTGCCATTTTTGACAACATGGATGGACATAGAGGGTATTGTGCTATAAAATAAGTCAGAAAGACAAATGCCACATGATTTCACTTATATGTGGAATCTAAAAAAACAAAACAAATGAATAAACAAATAAAACAGAAACAGACTCACAGAGAACTAAC